CTGCAAAGGATGTGATTTCATTCTTTTTTATGGCTGCATAGTATTCCATGGTGTATATGTGCCACATTTTCTTTATTCAGTCTACTGTTGATGGACACTGAAGTTGATTCCATGTCTTTGCTACTGTCAATAGGGCTGCAGTGAATACACGTGTGCATATGTCTCATTGGTAGAACGGTTTATTTTCTTTTAGATATATACCCAGTAATGGAACTGCTGGGATGAATGGTCATTCTGTTTTAGGTACTTTGAGAAATCTCCAAACTGCTTTCCACAGTGACTGAACTAATTCACGTTCCCATCAACAGTGTATAATCATTCCCTTTCCCCACAGCCTCTCTAGTGCCTGTTTTGTTTACTTTTTAATAATAGCCATTCTGACTGGAGTGAGATGGTATCTCATTGTGGTTTTGATTTGCATTTCTGTAATGATTAGTGGTTTTGAGCATTTTTTCATATGTATGTTGGCTGCATGTTTGTCTTTTTTTTTTTTTGAGACGTCTCGCTCTGTCACCCAGGCTGCACCAGGCTGGAGTGCAATGGCGCGATCTAGGCTCACTGCCACCTCCACCTCCCAGGTTCAAGCAGTTTTTTTTTTTTTTTTTGAGACGTCTCGCTCTGTCACCCAGAGTGCACCAGGCTGGAGTGCAATGGCGCGATCTAGGCTCACTGCCACCTCCACCTCCCAGGTTCAAGCAGTTCTCTTGCTTCAGCCTTCCAGGTAGCTGGGATTACAGGCATGTGCCATCACGTCTGGCTAATTTTTCTATTTTTAGTAGAGACAGAGTTTCAACATATTGGGCAGGCTGATCTCGAACTCCTGACCTCATGACCAGCCCACCTGGGCCTCCCAAAGTGGTGGGAAAGTGGTGCTATTACAGGTGTGAGCCACCGCGCCCAGCCTCACCTAGCTAATTTTTGTAGAGACAAGGATTTTGCCATGTTGCCTAGGCTGATCTTGAACTCCTGACCTAAAGCAATCTGCTGGCCTTGGACTCCCAAAGTGATGGGATTACAGACGGAGCCACCATGTCTGGCCCAAAAATTCTTTTTTTAAAATCAACTATTTAAACCCTCCGGCAATGGTCCTGAGGGCAAACAACAAATGAAACACCTATTCAAGAAAATCTACAAATTCGGTAAGAAAGATGAGAGGATATAGTATTTGAACCAAGATCATTCCCTCCTTACCCACTCCTAGCTTAGTGAGGTAGAGCTTCTACTCCAGACTATTGCAAACTGAAACACGGGGCACCGCTCCCTCAGCTCCCAAATTAAATGCTTTCTTCCCAGGAAAAGCTGGACATCAGCATTTCTTATCATACCCAGAGCTACTTGTTGCTGAGGTTAAAACCTGTGTGAGTGCAATTGAAAGTTGGAGCTCCCTTTTTTTTTTCTTTTGAGACGGAGTTTTGCTCTTGTTGCCCAGGCTGGAGTGCAATGGTGCGATCTCGCCTCACCGCAACCTCCGCCTCCCAGGTTCAAGCGATTCTCCCACCTTAGCCTCCCGAGTAGCTGGGATTGTAGGCTTGCCCCACCACGTCTGGCTGATTTTGTGTTTTTAGTAGAGATGGGTTTCTCCATGTTGGTCAGGCTGGTCTTGAACTCCTGACCTCAGGTGATCTGCCTGCCTCGGCCTCCCAAAGTGTTGTGATTACAGGCGTGAGCCACCGCGCTCGGCTAAAGTTGGAGCTCCCTTCTTCCACCTAGTCCCTACTTGTGGAACAGGATTGTACCTTGGGCATGGCATACTGAAACTACTGGCGCCCCAATTGCTCATCCACCAGTTCTAGCAGGCTGAGCCTCAGGTTGTTGCGGTCCCCTGCCTCCTTCCACCAAGTGCTCAGTTTCTAGAGTGCGGGTATCTCTCAGAAGCTTTCCACGCTCCTTCCCCCCAGCTCCAGAGCCTTTCTCCGGGATTTTGCCTGAGGAGAGAAGCAGGCCCTAAAACAGATAGCTCCTAATCTCTTTCCAATGGTAGTGACTTCATTTGCAACACAGTGTGTAGAAATTCATGCCTAAGGGCAATTTGGAGATGTGAAGGTTTTGGTGAGAGGCAATTGGGAGATCTGCGGATTTTTTTTTTTTTAAAGTTAAAAATTTATTGACATTCTGAAAATATAAGGATTGTGAAAAACTATTTAATATTGCTTTTAATTTATCATAGGAGTTACTTCCCAAAAATGTTAATCACAGCTGGATTGAAAGAGTCTTTGGGAAATGTGGCAATGTTGTTTATATAAGTATATCACATTATAAGTCTACTGGAGATCCAAAGGGATTTGCGTTTGTGGAATTTGAAACAAAAGAACAAGCAGCAAAGGCAATTGAGGTAGGTCCAGATCCTGAAGTCAGAACAGGCGAGAGGAAGAGAAGCAGCTCTGAAGATGCAGAGTCTCTTCCTGAATTAGTTCCCAAAGATTCCTGTCCTCCTCCAGAAGGGTAAAAAAAAGAGATCTGCGGATTTAATGGAGATGCAGCCTAGACTGTAGGTCTCCTGGTTTGCTGGAAAGAATTGGGGAATAAGACAGCTGGGAGAAGCCCTTCTAGGATCAGAATAAGGATCAAACATTGACCATAGCATGGTGGCTCACGCCTGTAATCCCAGCACTTTGGGAGGCTGAGTCAGGCATATCATCTGAGGTCAGGAGTTCGAGACCAGCCTGGCCAATATGGTGAAACCCCGTCTCTACTAAAAATACAAAAATTAGCTGGACATGGTGGCATACACCTGCAATCCCAGCTATTTGGGAGGCTGAAGCAAGAGAATCATGTAAACCGGGAGGTGGAAGTTGCAGTGAGCCAAGATCACGCCATTGCACTCCAGCCTGGGTGACAGAGTGAAACTCTGTCCTGTCACAAAACAAAACAAAACATGCACCACAGACCTCTGAGGTGATGGATGTCCCTCCTGCCCTGGTTGTATCATTATACCTTGTATATTAATGAATCAGAATACCGCAGGTACCCCCAACATATATACAACTATTATGAATCAATAAAAAACAATTTGAAAAGTAAAGTATGTGGCGGAGGTAGAAAAAAATGCTTTCCTCCAAACAGGCACAATTTGATTATATCAGTTTGTAGAGCAAGAGCAAGTTATGCCTCAGTGCATTGTTGAAAATAATAGAACAATATATCCCAATTAGTGGAGCTTTCATAGCTGGGTGTGGTCAAGGAGAGAAAAGAAGAGAACCCTACCAAAACCACTGTCATCCCAGGGTGAGTGTGGGCGTACCCAAAGCTGCACCTCCCTGAAGAGCAGTATCATAGGCCTTAACACTCTTCAGGGGAAATGGATTTCACTCAAATAATCCCAGGGTGACTGTGGGCGCACCCAAAGCTGCACCTCCCTGAATAACAATATCATAGGCCTTAAAACTCTTTAGGGGAAATGGATTTCACTCAAATAATCCAGCCAGTTACTAAACAAATAACAATTAGCACTGGAGAGGGGGTACCAATCCCCAAAGTTGCTACAGTATATGATCTAAAATGTCATTTCCAACAAAAAATTAGGAGACATACAAAGAAACAGGATAATATGACACATACACTGAAAAAAAGCTGGCAACAGAAATTGCCTGTGAGACAAGGGGCCAGAGTTAATGAAAAAGGCTTCAAACTAGCCATTAGTTTCACAGTACTAAAGGAAAATATGATGACAAAGAAGTAAAGGACAGTATGACACTGTTTCATCAATTAAAGAATATCAATAAAGATATAGAAATTATACAAAAATAAATGAAAATTCTGGAGTTGAAAGTACAATAACAACTGGGCAGGGTGGCTCACGCCTGTAATCCCAGCACTTTGGGAGGCTGAGGCTGGCGGATCACCTGAGGTCAGGAGTTCGAGACCAGCCTGACCAACATGGTGAAACCCCGTCTTTACTAAAAATACAAAAATTAGCTGTGCATGG